CAAAAAATATATTTAACTACTTAAATAAATTTTAAAAAATTAGTAACATACCTTTTTCGAAAGGCGGCAACATAATCAAAGTCATGATTCAAATAGAATTTGGTTGCAGAAGATGCCGATAAACAAATTTGACCTTGATACATCTTGATAAGAACACTTGTCATGATAAGAACAATGTTATCATTTTCAACCCCACGGTATTTATCTTCTAATTGTTCTGCTTGTTCTGCCCATATTGTTGCTGGTATTTCAAATCCACTTCATATAAGAAACAAAAGATTGGTTGTTAGCCAAATAAAAACAAAATAAAGGTATCTATAATACAATTATTCTCATCATTAAAGTAAGGAGAGCAAAAATCTATAGTAAAAAACATACCCTTCTAACAATAAAGTTAAAGTGACTCTTCTTAAAGTGGGTGTTGTTTGAGTACGAACATCTGATTTTTCAATATTTTTGATATATCCAATTATATCTGTATGAAAAAAATGTGACACATAAGTATAAAAATTTAAAACTAAAAATATTACCATATAAATCTTGTGTCATATTTTTCAGTTTAGCCAAATCTCCGTGATTTCGAAATCGGAAATTTTCCAGAGGTATTTTGCAAAATTGTTGATCCACATTTGCAATTGTTGTTCTCTCTGTTAATATCATCTGAAATTTATGATCAGAGACTTTGTAGTGCTTATTGCAATCTTGCACATTAAAGTTACAAATTTCGATAAGACTTCCTTCACATAATTGATCTCCAAACTTTTCAATAAGGAAATGATGCACAAAGCCTTGAATAGTATTTTCCTATTTTTAAAATATATAAAAATTTAGATAAATAATTTAATAATAATTTGACGAATATTTTAGTTTAAAGAAAAATATTAAAAGAATTACCTTCTCGTCGAGTAGGAGAAAATTCATTCCTATAAGCTCATTATTTTTTTTCAGATTTATTGCTTCCCACTTTCTTGCAAGACGTACTATCGTTCGACGATAAGAACGTTTTTTGTTTAGTTAATCTAGTGTTATATATTCTTTGTTGTTGTTTTCAACTTGTGGGCTCATCTTGTGTTTGATGATATCTATTCTGAAAATTAAAAAAAAAATTAAAAAATTAGTTATAAATTTAATAAAATATTGATATGTGGATATTATGACTTTTAACAAAAAAATTATATGTGTGGACCAAAGCTCAGTCAAATTAACCGTTGACGCAACGAAAGAAGAAGACTCTTTTTATTTTGGTGGGTACGAAAGAAGAAGACTTAACTACAATATTAAGTTACAGAAGATTCCCAATTTAAGTAATAAAATAAAATAAAAAGATTGATGTCGAATCTTCATACAACAAACGTATGTCATCACGAAATTAAAAAATCATAACCGATAGTAATCGAACTACTACGTATAGGATTGATTCCTTCATGGGTATGTACGTAGGCAACTCAAACAACAAAATACGACATCGACATCGACATACGTACCTCACGTTCTCACGTCCTCAACGATAGGTAAAAGCAAAAACTTCTCAACAGAACAAAATTCAATTAAAGATGGTGTTTTGAAGAAAGTATTTTCTTTGGTAAGAAATATATGAGACCATCTACTTATTATATAGAGGTGAGTATTTACAATTCTTTTTTTTCTTTTAGGAATAGTATTTAAAAATTTATAATGGAACATATACATATAATTTACTTATGATTATCTTTTTATATTTTTGAAAATATTACAATATATAATTCATAATTATCTTTTTATATTTTTAAAATTATTTCAATTTATAATTTATCTTATAATTATCATTATAAATTTTAAAATTGTTTTAAACATAATTCATAATTATAGAATACTTTTCTTTTTGAATTTGTAATCTATTTATTATTTCCTTATTATTATCTTTATATTTTAAAAATTATTTAAATTATTTAAATTTTAAATTAATAAATTATATGTTTATATATTTATCTTGCTTATAATAAATTATTTAAATTTTAAGTTAATAAATTATATGTTTATATATTTATCTTCCTTATAATTATCTTTTTAAACTTTTAAAATTATTAAAAATTATATAACTTTCTTAAGATTATCTATAAAATTATAATTGTTTTTCTTTTATAATTAGTAATAGACACGTGTCAAAATCTCAAAACGTTAAAATCGACATGTGTCGCAATCTAGCGAGTTAGTAACTTCGAAAACCCAACTTTATATAATAAGATAGATTAATAAACCTAAATATTATTATTATTATTATTATTATTATTATTATTATTATTATTTTAACAAACGCCTAAATATTATTACTATTATTTCATTTTAACCATTTAAATCCATCCATCATCTATTGACCATTTGTTTGATGTTAATTGGACACACAAGTTAACTTGTTTTACATTTTGTTACCAATCTATATCAATTATCTATATTTTTTTTTACTTGTTTTAGTTTTGAATCTTAGAGACAACGTAAGAAGATCAAATTATACTATTACACATTCAATAGCTGATTGAAAGTGTACATCATACACTATATAACCGGTTATTATGGACATATATGTCCACGATAGCATTATCCACGTATAAATAACTGAGTTATAAAATGAAAAAGTAGGGAAAAAAAATGAGATAAGCTTTGAAAACATACATTTATGTTTCATATGCATTCCTTCCAAGTAAAAAGAGATACAATTAATGTAGATACCATCGAACAAATGTTCAATAAGTGATGGATGGATTCAAATGGTCAAAATGAGATAATAATAAGTTTTTTTTTTTTTTTTTTTGTAGATCCATATGGAATAGAAACGCAAGTTTGTTGGTTGTTTGTGGAGTTTTCGTAACAAAAGTGTTTACTTTGCATAATATAAAATGCCTCTCATGTGTTCGACAAAAAATACTTCATAAAAAACTTGTTTGTCCATTTACCATGTTCGACATACAATGGAATGGACAATTAGAGTAACAAATCCAGCGTCCGACCAAGGAGACGCACGAGTCGTCGTCTGAGAAAATAGCAAAGGAAAGCATTAGTTGAAATGAATAGAATACAACCATTTGAGAGTTTTATAGTGAACCTTCCATATTGACGCCAATTTCACAATCGTTTATTGCAATTTTACTCTGGTTTCTTTCTAGGAAACAACTATGGTTTTACTAGGGTTTATGGTACAAAAAATAGAAATGAAGAATAAGTTTCCAAATTGCATAGATTTAATAAATAAATTCTATTTGTATATTGAGATTGTTAAGCCCAAAAAATATATGCCATATTGGGTTGAATTTCCAGGCCCATGATTTTGAGTAGAAATTGTTTTAAGGGTAATTAAATAGGTAATTGCAAATAATAGTCTATTAGAGAGTAGAGATGTATTTCTACCAAAAAAAAAAAAAAAGAGAGTAGAGATGTATTAGAGGAAGAGAGAGAAATGTGTCTATTATACAAAATATGTTGAAAACTACCTATTTTGCAAAATATTTGTTTGGAAAGTGTCTAGTTAGCAAATATTTTCAATCCAAAATACTTAAACATAACACACAAACTAAGAAGACACCTGATATATCCCATATTTTACCCTCCATCTATATGTTTTAGGATTCGTTTTTAGAGTCTTTCTAGTGTTTTTGTAGTGTTTTAGTGTGATTACAGGTTAATGTACGTTTGGAGCTTACATGGAGCAAAAGGAACCAAAAGGATTCAAATTGGAGCTAAAAGATGAAGTTTGAAGATCAATGCAGATTTGTAGCCTTCTCTGTCCAGAAATACGAGGTGTGTCGATCGACACAACTTATGTGTGTCGTTCGACAGGAGATCTGAAAACAGAAGTTGTGCGAGTTTGAAGCCCAATTTGATTTCTACTCAAGATGGAAATCCTTAGACCGACTTAATCAAGCCCTAGACGTTCAGAGACTTGTATATATAGTGTTTTTCGAGTTTTAAAAGAGATATCCAGACTTTGTCTAAGCTTTAGAGAGATATCTTGTTTTCTGTTCTAGGTTTTGAGAAGAGAGCTTTGGGGAGATCTTTCTTGTTCCTGATTCCTTCAAGTCCTGATTGTGAACCCCTGTTATTTCTTACTCTTAATCTTAATGATGATTTCGTTTCTTATCTCCTGTGTTATTGCTTTGATTATGTCTGAGTAATTCACCTGTTAGATTTAGGGTTTCTCATAAGGGTTTGATGGTTTGATTGAATGAATTGATTAGTTAAGGATTATCTATCTTATTGTTCTTAATCTGAGATTGTTCTTAATGCTTATTCTTGATTGATCACCTTGAATTTGAACTTAGGTTGTTAGTCTCTGCGGAAGTAGGATTGATAGCTTGAACCTATCTCTGATTAGCAACACTCCTATTCACAAAGGAATTTGGTTTAGGGTCTTGTGAACATATTGAACTTGATTTTAATGCAAACTTAGATTCTTTAGAATTCACAAAGGGATTTGGGATTCTGTTTCTAGGTTTAGAAGTTTTCACAACGGGAGTTGGTTAGCTTTACATTCGTGTTTGAGTTCTAGAACACTGATTAATTAATCCTGACTGATCATACATTTATCATTCCTGATTTCCTGAGAATTCCCTGAGTCTAACGCTTTCTCTAATTGTTTCCAACTTTGATTTACTTTTCTGCAATTGCTTTCTTTTATTTTACTTATATTTGGTTTAGCATAATCCAACAATTGAACACTTATTGTGTAACACAGTCCCTGTGGATTCGACCCCTAAGTACTACAGTGATCTCTTAATTTGAGAGAGTAGCTCTAGGGATAATTTGAGCATATCAAATTTTGGCGCCGTTGCCGGGGACTGTTTGTCTACCATTAGGTTCCAGTTTAGGATTTTGTCTAAACTCTTTTATTTTCAGTTTAACTACTTTTGTTTTCTTCTTTTTCTGGTGTGTTTCAGGTGACAGCTAATCACACAACCAGGAACTAGTAGGAAAACATGAATCAGCATATTGCATATCAACAAGACTACTACCATTTCACAAGGAACTATGATGTTAGTTTCTACCAAGCCCCTCGCCCATACCAGAGAATGTTGTGGAGTCAATGTTCGAAAAACTCCTTGAAGATCAGCGACAGATCTGCAACGAGGCCAGCAAAGTCTGGATACCACTAGATAAACGAGGCGAGAACAATTGCAATGCAGTTTCGGTTCATGAAAGTGAAACTGCACAGATCGAAGCCATGTTTCGAACACTTCTGGAAGGTCAGCAACAACTCACAACGGACATTACAAACAAGATTGATGCAGTGTCCTCAGATCTAAATGGGAAGATTGAAGCGGTGTACAACCATGTCAAGAAGCTTGAAGCTCGAATTTCTCAGGTTGCTGCATCTGTGCAAAACCACGCTGTGTGTCGATCGACACCAACCATCTGTGTCGATCGACAGCACTCGGGGAATCAGGCTGTAAATAGAACCCAACCTTCTGTTCAACCATCGACTATTGAGAAGAGTGTCGATCGACACACTCCTATCAGTGTCGATCGAAATGACCCGAGAGCACAGCTGCCATATGTTGTGATTCCACCATCCGTGAAATCCGACATCTATGCTCCTAAGGTACCATATCCTAGACCCAAAAGATCTAAGCAGGAGATTGAAGATGAGAAGTGTGAAGCTATGCTTGACAAGATCAAGACCGAAATTTCTACAAGTGACGACGAAGACACTTCATCTACAATGAAGCGTCTGGTCAAGCGAATGGTCTTGAATGGTCTTACTCCTGAGGAAGGAGCTTTGCTTACACGCGATACCAGTGCGGTTTTCTCAGCTAAGGCACCTAAGAAGACGAAGGAGAAGAAAGAGAAGGTGATTGTGTCAAAACAATCTAGCGCGGTAATTCAGAAAAAGCTTCCAAAAAAGTTACCTGATCCAGGACGTTTTGTACTCGATTGCTCTATCTCTACACAGAGGTTTTCACATTCTCTTTGTGATCTTGGATCCGGTATCAACCTGATGCCTCTCTCTGTTGCTTTGAGACTCAGGATGACTGTTTTCAAGCCATCCACGATCTCCATTTCCTTCGCTGATCAATCTAAAAGACTTCCTGAGGGTATTTTGGAGGATGTTTCGGTGAAAGTTGGCGGCTGCGTGATTCCAACAAACTTTGTGGTTTTAAGATATGCTACAGAACCCAAGGATCCTTTGATTTTAGGACGCCCCTTCTTGGCTACAGCTGGTGCCAAGATAGATGTGAAAAAAGGGACAATGAAACTTGATTTGGGTGATGTGGTCATGGATTTTGACATGGACAAGTTGAGGAAGGCACCTACCATTGATGGTATGGCTTTCTTTGTAGTGACTTATGACGACATTACTGCTGGGTATGTCGACATGTTGAGTTCTAGTGATCAAGCATCAAGGCCTGAAGATTCTAGTGAGCTGTGCTGTAGAGAACGTTCTGATACTGAGATTTCAGAAACAGTGTGTCGATCGACACACATTCCTTGTGTCGATCGACACTCCTGGCGAGTTGAACCAAATTTGCTTGAAAAGGCTGTTTCACAGGATGTTCTCAAAGATGCAAGTCTGAGGTCTGTTCCACAACAGAGAGCTACACATCTTCCACCCCCTACACCTCGAAGAAAGCAAAGGTACGCATCTTCTAACCCTCCACCTCCTAAATTCATCAATAAGAATTTCAAAGGTTCAAAAACTGCTTTGCCGTTAACCAAGCCACGAGATTCTCGTAGAGAGCTTGTTTCTTCTTTTGATGATGTTGCAGGAAAACGAAGTGTCCCACCCATAGCTACAGCCCACCCTTCTCCTATTCATCACTTTCTTGGTAGATCTCCTACACCTAATGCTTATAAGCCACTATGGATGAGGAGACATCTTTCTCAGAGGCATTCATTGCCATCTGATCCACCTGACCTCTGAGAACCCGACACAGTCAAGCTAAAGACTCAAAACAAGCGCTGAGTGGGAGGCAACCCACTGGTTTGATTTTTCTATCTTTTTATTTTTCACTTTTTAGGATTTTGTGTTTTGATTTTGACTAACTTGGTTTGATTATTGATGGAACTAATGCTTTATCTTTTGAGATTATGTTTTGCTTTGATATTTGATTGTCTTTCCACAGCTTAGGCAGGGAATTCATGTGTGAAAACTTCATCCAATTCATCAATCATGCAGAAATTTGCCTCAGCCTCTGTCTGATTTTGGACAGTGTGTCGATCGACACACTCCATTCCTGTCGTTCGACAGCACACGGGGTAACTAGTTCTAACTTAGCAAAAAAATCCTCAAATTTCAATTCAAGTTATTTTTCTTTATCTCCGATCCTAAGACTTTTTACCACTGGGGACAGTGTTACTTAAGTCTGGGGGAGGAAAATACTGACGTATTTTTCTTTGTTTTGATTTTTGATTTCTTTCTAACCATCTATATCTAACCATTTGAGTCATTTTTGTTTTATCGAGTCAAAATTTTGTTGAAAACTATGATCCTTTTTCTTTCGTGTTTTACCTGGTTGATTAATACTACAGATTAAGTCTGATTCCGACTAATGAAAAATCCAAAGATTGAGCGGTGAACCAGAGACAAACAAATTTCCATCAAGATTCACTAAGGCTGGAACCAAGATTTATGTGGTTAGTGTTTCTAAGAGCTTGACTCTTTGTTCATACATGATTGCTTACGTTGAAAACAATGGTACCCCTTTCCCCTAGTCTAAGAAAAAAAAAATATATTGGTATTGCTTATAAAAGACGAGATGATTTCCTGCGAGTTAGAGAGTAGATGAGAATCTATGATACCGTTATTCTGCTCTAGTCAGGAATGATCGCGTAGGGTTGTTAGAAAGGTAGATAATTTATTATCGATGATCCGATTATTTCACCCTGAAGTGTTAAAAAAAAAAGAGAAAGAAAAGAATAAAGTACAAGTGTGTAAAAGAATAAGTCTGGGGGAGAGTAAGGTTATTCAGCGTTGGATATGTTGAGTTTTTCATGGTAGAGTACAATGAATGAGTCTAGAAGGTTCTGGTACATTGGCTACATTGATTGTAATCTAGGTGATGAAGGCTTTCTTGATGAATGTGTGGAGAATTTTGGGAGTTTCTTGGTTTCATTGTGATTTCGGCGGAGAAGTACATGGTGGTTCGTTTTAGACTTGTTTGTTAGGCATATGGATTTGGTTCGAATGACTAAGGCAAGGCATTAAAGGCAAAGGTGAGTTTTCGCGTTTTCAAACCTCTTTCCACAGGTTTAGTTTCTGTTTTGCTTGAGGGCAAGCAAAAGCTAAGTCTGGGAGAGTTGATATATCCCATATTTTACCCTCCATCTATATATTTTAGGATTCGTTTTTAGAGTCTTTCTAGTGTTTTTGTAGTGTTTTAGTGTGATTACAGGTTAATGTACGTTTGGAGCTTACATGGAGCAAAAGGAACCAAAAGGATTCAAATTGGAGCTAAAAGATGAAGTTTGAAGATCAATGCAGATTTGCAGCCTTCTCTGTCCAGAAATACGAGGTGTGTCGTTCGACAGGAGATCTGAAAACAGAAGCTGTGCGAGTTTGAAGCCCAATTCGATTTCTACTCAAGATGGAAATCCTTAGACCGACTTAATCAAGCCCTAGACGTCCAGAGACTTGTATATATAGTGTTTTTCGAGTTTTAAAAGAGATATCCAGACTTTGTCTAAGCTTTAGAGAGATATCTTGTTTTCTGTTCTAGGTTTTGAGAAGAGAGCTTTGGGGAGATCTTTCTTGTTCCTGATTCCTTCAAACCTGATTGTGAACCCCTGTTATTTCTTACTCTTAATCTTAATGATGATTTCGTTTCTTATCTCTTGTGTTATTGCTTTGATTATGTCTGAGTAATTCACCTGTTAGATTTAGGGTTTCTCATAAGGGTTTGATGGTTTGATTGAATGAATTGATTAGTTAAGGATTATCTATCTTATTGTTCTTAATCTGAGATTGTTCTTAATGCTTATTCTTGATTGATCACCTTGAATTTGAACTTAGGTTGTTAGTCTCTGCGGAAGTAGGATTGATAGCTTGAACCTATCTCTGATTAGCAACACTCCTATTCACAAAGGAATTTGGTTTAGGGTCTTGTGAACATATTGAACTTGATTTTAATGCAAACTTAGATTCTTTAGAATTCACAAAGGGATTTGGGATTCTGTTTCTAGGTTTAGAAGTTTTCACAACGGGAGTTGGTTAGCTTTACATTCGTGTTTGAGTTCTAGAACACTGATTAATTAATCCTGACTGATCATACATTTATCATTCCTGATTTCCTGAGAATTCCCTGAGTCTAACGCTTTCTCTAATTGTTTACAACTTTGATTTACTTTTCTGCAATTGCTTTCTTTTATTTTACTTATATTTGGTTTAGCATAATCCAACAATTGAACACTTATTGTGTAACACAGTCCCTGTGGATTCGACCCCTAAGTACTACAGTGATCTCTTAATTTGAGAGAGTAGCTCTAGGGATAATTTGAGCATATCAACACCAAGTTCAGATCATATGACAACAAGTTCTTAGTTCCATTTGCTCTTCACTGTCCTCAACTCCTCCTTATAAACATGAACACATGAAATTGCATATCTTAGATTTAAGACAAAAACAATAAAGATAGATCAACTCTCAATGACTCAATCATATAAAGAAGTGAAGTATAGAATTATTTACCTCACTCTTACGATCTCTTACGCTCATTGTCCTTGTGAGTTAAAATCAGGATCATGCTGTAAAAGAAAACGTCCAAACATAAGATCACAATTCAAACTCACCAAAATCGTATTAAATAGAGTTCCAAAGAAAGAAAATACCTCTCATAAGATCATCTTGTAACTCAATATCTGAAAGCATTTGTTGAATTGTAAACACACCTTTTTCATTCATATGAATTTCACACTTCAACCATTGCTTTGTGCACATGAGTACTTCAACCATGTAGTGTGTCAAACAGCTCCTCTGTGGATCTAATACTCTTCTACTGGTGCTAAATGCAGATTCTGATGCGACTGAGCTCAGTTGAATTGTAAGTATGTCCCGAGCTACTTGTGATAGAACAGGAAACTTTACACTGTTTCTCCTCCACCATGATAACACATCATAATCTGAACCTAAAATACCTTTTGAGGTCTCCACTTTCTCTTCCAAATATACCTCCAGCTCATTAGTTGAATCTTGAGATGTTGTTTCTTGTATAAGCTCTTCGTGCAGATTATCCATTCGTTCATAACCAAAACCATTACCGAAAACCCTTGTTTCATAAACTACAGCTCTAACTTGCTCCTGTGACTGTGAAGATGATGTTCCTTGTGATTGCGAAGAGCTACCAGACCCACCACTACCACTATTATTGCTAGCAAAACCATTGTACTCTTCATATAAACTCTTCAAGATATCAGAGATCGATTCAGAAAGAAGACCAAACTCAAGGTTGTCTTTGCCATAAAGCTTTTCAAAACAGAGTTTAGCAAATTGCATTTTCTTCCTAGTGTCAAAAACACTTGCTACGATCAACAACTTGTTCATTACACGGGTTTGACTATAATCATTCTCACTCCCATCCCAAAATGGATTCCAGTACTTGCGTAACTTTCCCATCATAATTCATAATGATATGGCTTTGGTCCTTAAATACTCATCAGGACGTGGAGCCGAGGTTAGCTTACTAATAGTTCTAGTAATGGTGACAATCTCATTATAGATCTTGCATGTGTGAGGTGATGGAAGTTGAAGCTGAGAGAATCAATGTGGAATTGTAAAAAATGACAAGAAATTGAACCAACCTATCAACTGCTTCCCAATCACGTCTTACTGGTGGTCCAATCCTCTTTTTCCCATTGACTGATTCCATAAAGTAGTCATAATCGTATGGTTTATATTCAGCCTCCATCTTCTCAAAAGCGACTTTGAACTTCAGAGCTTGGTCTAACATGAGATATGTTGAATTCCATCTCATGTTAAAAGCATCGCACGGGTCCTTACCTATAAAAGTTGAGGCTAAATGCTTCTAACGCCGTCCACATAGGCTTTTAGATGGCCAATCACATAGCGCCATGTCACCGTTTCTTTAAATTTAATTAGTCGAAATCATATATATGAAAGGAGGCTATCTCTCTCCATCCTTCCGCCACATCAGCATTTTAGGCTATTCTGGAGCTGACACATCAGCTTTCTATCTTCCAATCAAAACATTTCATTAATATGATTTAACTTTTATTTTTTACACATCATCTTTTAATTAGAATTATCAAATGGGAAAAACACAATAGCCCATGAGGGATGGGCCATATGGATTTGAAAATCTATTTCACAAGTTAATAATATATTTATTATTTAATTATATATATTATTTAATTTTACATATTGATTTCTACTAATACTAACTTATTTTGTTATTTTATGTTTTTTTTCAATGAAATTATTTTATTGGTTTAATAACTCCAAAGTTTTTTTCGCTAATTTTTGTAATCTTAACTCAAAATATGAGTGGATAATAGTATAGTGGATTAGCTAATGGTTTGAGTAAGTTTTTCTCTTAATTTTTTTTATCTATATATGACACTAGGGTGGAGAGTACGTAAGGTCATCAAATTTTTGAGGTTCTATAATGCCAACATTACCATCTATAAAATTGGTTTAGGACAAAGATTGTTTACGGATTGTGTGAGTGATGCATTGTTGAGTATGTTGGTAGAAAATATATTTTAATACTAAGAGTAGTTGTTCATTGCATGAGTAAATGATTAGATAATTAAAAATTATATTTCTCAAAATATAACATCAAATAAATCAAAATAAAAAAAAAAACGGAAAAAAACCCACGGCGTAAAGCAGGTGATCAACTAGCAACAAGAACAATCAAAATAATTTGTTATTAAGAATTTTTAAAACAAACCCACGCTACGCGTGGGTATTTATCTAGTTTTCTTAAATTGTGAAAAGGAAAGTTCTACTTATCAAAAAAGTAAAAACAAAATTTTCTTAAATCGTAAAAAGAAAACCGTCCACATAGGATTTTAGACGGCCAATCGCATAGCGCAATGTCACTGTTTCTTTAAATTTAGTTAGTCAAAAAAAATTTAAAGGAATATATGCAATATGTTAAATCGTAAAAAGAAAATTTTACTTAACAAATATAAATAAATATCAAATATAATTGTAAATCTAAAATACTTATGTTATTTTTCCATTATGAAGATTAAAGGAAATGTTCTTTAAAATTAAAATGGATAAAAATAAATAATGAATTTTTTAAAAGGAATATATGTAATCATAAAAAGAAAAATTTACTTAAAAAATATAAATAAATGTCAAATATAATTGTAAATCTAAAATACTTATGTTATTTTTCCATTAAGAAGATTAAAGGAAATGTTCTTTAAATTTTAAATGGATAAAAAAATAATGATTTTTTTTAAAGGATTATATGCAATATGTTAAATCGTAAAAATAAAATTTTACTTAACAAATATAAGTAAATGTCAAATATAATTGTAGATCTAAAATACTTATGTTATTTTTCCATTACGAAGATTAAAGGAAATGTTCTTTAAAATTAAAATAGATAAAAATAAATAATGGTAATTTTATAATAATTAATTGTTATGATAATGATTTGCTTCTTAAAATATGTAAGTTTTCTTATTTTGTTTTGTTTGGTAGATCTCGTCAAACAAAAGGAAAACCTAATTCTATACCGCCTCTTCATTTGCTATAAACTAGATCATAACCCGTACTGGAACAGCACGGATGAAATTTTAATTTTTAAATATTTATATAAAGTTGGATTATTGTTTGTTTTATTGTACAATTTTAATAATTCTTTACATAATACAATGACATATAAGGATTTTTTATTTTATTTTATTTTGATGAGAAAATATTAGGGGTGGGGTACGGTTTTTCGGTTTAGTATCGTTTTTTTCGTTTTGTAGAAAGTGAAACCATATAGAAACCGTATGTAATTCGGTTTAGTTACAGTTCGATTTTTACGGTTTTTTACGTTTTTTTGGTTAAAAATAAAACGTATGTATTTGATATATGCTAGTAGTAAGTGGAAAAAATTGTGTATATAATAAACATATTTTGGTATATAATAAGATTAAATTCAACCCGTGCGTACCTATATTTTTATTTTAGAATCCCAATAAAAAATTGTGTGCACGATCCATCATTCATTATTTTCATATATACTTATAGAATCAAAATTTTAAATATTTAGAGGTGTCAAACCTTATTTAACTCATCTCATCAGATAATCTTAACATGGTTTCGGTTATAAAGATCATACCTCTTTTTATCATATAATACATTACATTTAACCTGCTGCTTGTTATAAATATTTTAAATATTTATGCTTTGAAAAATAAAATTAGAGTATTTATAACTTTTATCTTTTGATTTATTAAATATTTATGATATTCTTAAAAATATTATATTAAACTATTTAAAAAAATTTCCAAATTAAAATATTTTTTTATTTTTTATTGTAGAATATAAAATTAAGAATTTTTAAAAAATAATTGTAAGAACTTAAATATAAATATTCAAATAGTTATAAGGATCATAACTCATTCCATCATATAATACATTATATTTAACCCACCGTCTATTATAAATAGTTTTTAAATATATTTGTTTTAGGAAAACCAAATTAGTGTATGTCTAATTTTTAAATTTTTTATTTATTAAGTATTGTTGATATTTGTTTTTAAATATCAAGTCAAACTATTTTTAAATATTCCAAATTAAAATATTTAAAATTTTATCGTAGTATATAAAATTATATATTTAAAAAAAAATATATGAAATTGAATATAATTACTCAAATTATGACCCGTTATTCAGGCGGAATTTTTGTTGAATTTATTTTTGTTTAAAAGAAATATATTATCCAAGTCTAAATTTTGATTCGTTAATTTTTGTTTTCTTCATAAATTGAATAATTTATATTCGTTTTTAAAAATTCAAATCATGGCATATGCGGAAATAAAAACTATTTTTTATTATTATATGGATGATATGATGATTTATTTGTTTCACAATAATATAATCATATAAAGATGAGAGGTGAAATATAATGATTAATAACAAATTAATAAGGTAAGTTAGATATCAAATCTTATATATTCATTTTGATTGGTCATTTAAAAATAATAATAATGTATTTTTCGTTTTTATAATTAAATTAAATTAATTAAATTGTATAAATTGACTTGTTTATCCTTAATGAGATGAATTAATTTACTCTTTGAAATTTTATCTCTAATGGCATTCTTAAGTAAATTTTTACAAAAGGGAAGGTTAGTTAAGGGTATCTTATAAAGTGTACTCCCCAAATAATAGTATAGGATAGATTCCTTGATATTCACTTTCACATCATAACTAATACCTATATGTTTTTGTTTGATACTACGTTTTTATTATAACATGATAGTTTTATTAAAATATTAATGATGTTTAGTTTTATGTCTCGCAGGTGGGATTTGTAGAAAAAATGACGTGAATCGATCAAATTTTTTGGATATTGTTTCAATTGATCAACATGCCCTAATATATATTGTAAGTATAATATTTTTTTGTTATAAATTTATGAGTTTTTTTGTATTTCAATTTTTACGTCGATAATCTGTAAGAAAATATTGAAAAGTTTAATTTGATATTTTAGTTTATAAATTCTCATTGAATCTTGGTATATCAATTGTTACTAATGATCAACATGTACATCAACATAGTTTATATTGTGAACGTTTGATGGTTAGTATTGACGCTTCTAAACCATGAATCAGGTACTATCGATGTTTTTTTTTTGTTATTTGTTCTTTTTATTTGTGGTGGCTTTTAGCTACTACCGACTGATAATTTCTCTTCCTATTCGATTATTTTTATGTGTTTTTTTTGGTGGAAGATTATTTTTATGTGTTTTTTTTTGTAGAAGATTATTTTTATGTGTTGAAACCATCAATTTCTTTTCTTCTATTTTTCTTTAATTTTTTAAAAAATATTATTAATCATAAAAAAAATTAGACTAAATTTTTTTCCTTAAAATATCCCGCGCGTAGCGCGGGTTTAAAACCGATAATGTGTTATTTAGTTTAGTGTTAAAATCCTTTAATGTGCGCATCTATACTATATAAAAGTTGAGGCTAAATGCTTCTAAGGCCGTCCACATAGGATTTTAGACGACCAATCACGATTAGCCACCTCATTAATTAACATTTTAAATAAGAAGAAAATAATTTGGAAATAAAAGAAATGTAAATTTTTTAAAATATTACGTAGTAGGGAAATGTAAAATAAGAGAAATATATTTTTTTACGTATTAGAGAAATGTAAGCTTAAGAAAAATGTAAATTTTCTAAAATATTATGTAATAGATTGTAAGCTTCCTAAAATATTACGTAGTAGACAAAAAGAAATGTATTTTTTTCTAAAATATTACATAGTAGAGAAATGTAAGGTTAAGAAAAATGTAATTTTTCTAAAATATTATGTAATAGAGAAATGTAAGCTTCCTAAAATATTATGTAGTAGACAAAAAGAAATGTAATTTTTCTAAAATGCTAAATGCTTCTAAGGCCATCCAAATAGGATTTTAGACGACCAATCGCGATTAGCCACTTCATTAATTAACATTTTACGTAGTAGAGAAATGTAAAATAAGAGAAATGTATTTTTCTAAAATATTACGTAGTAGAGAAATGTAAGCTTAAGAAAAATGGAAATTTTCTAAAATATTATGTAATAGAGAAATGTAAGCTTCCAAAAAATTACGTAGTAGACAAAAAGAAATGTAATTTTTCTAAACTATTACGTAGTAGAGAAATATAAGATTAAGAAAAAATACATTTTTCTAAAATATTATGTACATGTAAGCTTCCTAAAATATTTTGTAGTAAACAAATTAAAAAAGTTAAT